AAAGTCCGTTCTGTCATTTCATAAAAAATGCAGTAACGTATTGTAGGGCAATATGAGAAACAATATCCAATTTTTTTATGGGGTGGTCCACCACGAGATTATATTTTAAACTTTAGTTGATTTGTAATGTAGCTGTGTGAACCAATGACTGTAAAAAAAATATGGACGACGCGACAGCCCTTTTTCCCATTGAACGCCTTGAGGGCAAAACACCTGCTTGACGGGCACAAACTGTCGCAAAAGACTGCTGAAATTGGAGCCAGACATGCGCAGAAGGATCGTCTGATGGAGCCAGAGGAGGAGCCGCGAAAATGAGCGGAGTCGAGCTTCCAACCAAACGCTTTATGTAAAATCAACCACGCCCCCCGAACTTCACAGCATGCGTTTGCTGTCATATCAACACAAATGGATGTAATAACGTTAACAAATATGAGGGTTTTGTATATTCAATCGCGCCAGCTCCAGGCCGCAACACATAACTTACTCGCGGCGTCGCTGGCTGATTCCGGCTTGCATGCGGCAGCGCCTGCTCGCTCGGCCGCCGCATCTGGCTCGATTGACTCGGGCTGGAATCGGGCAGTGAGTCCAGGCATCCGGAGTAGGTCCAGCAGAGGTAACATTAGTCAGTCTGAGCTCTAAGAGATAAGTCTCCGGCAGGCGAGAATCTAGCCGGAACTGTGTTTTGCTATCTGGGTGGCTAGGCGTGTATCAGCAAACTAATAAAGCCCGAAAAAAGCCCTGAACTTAGCGAATAAACAGTGTTCCACCAGGATCATGTATGTCAGAAACTGTAGTTTACTGCTGAACTCATTTTGTCATGGTAAAATAACACAGAAATCGAATAATAACACTTCAGTCTCCTGCCGAAGCTCAGACGCGCTGCTTTGAGAAACTGTCAATCACCGCTGTCAATCACGATGACACGCCCAGCATTAAATTACTGCTAAAAACAAACTGTTTACAAAAATGAAGATCTGCACCTATTTCAGCACAATAACCAGTGCCTTAATCCACCAGAACCATCTTTCGGGACATTTTATTGCAAGTGTAATATTTTTTTTTATTTGGGCTCAAGTCTCCTTCATTAACACGGAGGAGGCGGGCTTTATGACTTGTACTGCAGCCAGCCCCCAGGGGGCGATCTAACGGCCGAGACCTTCACTCAAACGTAGGCTTGCGGCACACTTGGTGTGAACATAAACCTCTGAATGTAATGCTCTCAAAGTTCAATGCAGAGGGACACGTTTCATTTCAAGGCAAAAGCGTTTAAAGTTTATCAAGTCAGACAGTTGGACATGAGTAATGGTCAGAATTTTGCAAAACCATTACCACTAGTGTGCGTTTCCAGTGCTCATCTGCATTGTCTATAGACTGGCTGCCAACACAATTTACTTTAATTCATTTTGGCTTGGAAGGTTGTGATCTGTGAGCGTTTACCTTTCTACTTGGCACTTACCAAGGCAGTAGTAATTATGCGCTTCATTAGGAAGGTTTGACGTCTGACCTTAGCTTGATTTGTTGATGTTAGACTTTAGATTAACACAGGCATGTGGGTCATTTGCCTCTGGGCTTTCAGGATCAGGGATGAGTGTAGTGTTTATACTGGTTCTGGGGTTTGCTCGTTGCGTGTGGTTTACTCGATGAGCTGGATTATTGCTGATTTGACATGAACTAGGATTGTTTGGTTCTCTCATTCTGGAGTTGTTGTCGACAGGTCTGTAAGCTCAATTAGATGTGAAGCAAAAGGTGATACCAAGGCTGTTGAATGTGATGATATTCATCCAGATATACATTCTCATGCATGCATACAGGAGTTGGACAATGAAACTGAAACACTGGAACAATCCACCAGTAAGAGCAGAGTGTGAAGGTTTAATTAAAATAATAATGTAAACTCCCCTTTTCATGCTAACCCGTCCCTCTTTCGCCACTCGACACTCCCACCTAAACAAACCTGGACTTTTCTGACTCTTTTCAAACTATAGGTGTGAAACCACTTTTATTTAGAAATTAAAAAATGGACGTGAAATTCTGAAGTATAAATACCGTAATGATATTTAAGAATAAAACGTATTCCAAAAGGTGTTTTATTTTTATTTATTATATTTGTTATGCTGTGAAAGTCCTGTAGTCAAACACCCTATTAGAAGCCAAAGTGCTTTACTAGATAAAGTACATGCTGATGGTTTAAGTATGCATGTGTGCAACTCTCTATATGTGTGTGTATGTCAAGGGGCAGAATGAGTTAGCAAGCTAATGTTGTTAGCCGAGCAAAGTTCAGCTGGTTAATGCTCTTAGCTTAGTTTTACTTTCTCAACTGCTAATACAGTGATCCAGCAGCTCGCTCCCACTGCCCACGATTGATCCATCTCAGTTTAATGAGGTGTTATAGTTCATCTTCACCTCTCATGTGCGTTTGTTTGGTTTATTGCTCACTTTAGAGGTTGTCAGCAGTTTTTGCGCAGCATGCTTTGAGTTAGATTAGGTTCTGTGTGTTTTAATTCCCTTGTTGTCGCTATAAAAATTTGATGTGTTTTTTAGGTCTAGCATTTTTGTTTTTTCCATGTACTGTGATTCTAACAGAATTCAATTTTATGGCCTAATATAAACACAAATGATGTCTCTTACTGAAATATGTAGTGGAAAACTCATGAAAGATTTGCGTTGTTTAAAAAATTCACATCAGTTAATGAGTTGGCTGGTGTTATTTTAAGGTCGCAGTGTGCTTGATGTCAAATGGTTGCACTCTGTGAGCTGCTGCTGGTACTTTTCGCTATTTTTACTACACTGTCAGAAATGCTGTGTTCCACACAATCCCTTCATGTTTTCCCAACACAAATCGATTAAGTTAACTTACTCGTCATCGACTTTAGCTTTAAGATTTAAAGGGCTAGCATTGCACCAGACCCTGTAAGTGGTTTCGTTTGAAAGTGTAGAATCTATATTTTATGCACATATGCATCACTTTGGTTTTTATTCTACTGTACAAAAGGTATTTACACTTCAACACACAGTATTTTGGATACCCGAGCTTGATATTTTTACATTGGTTCATTTTCATATTTTTGATATGACACATGTACAAGTTATAGCTCAAATGAAAGCTCTTGCCGGTGCTCATACTGTTTTAGCATTCTTTTTACTGAATTATATTCACAAATCAAACAGCTGCCGAATGAATCGCGGTGTTTCCATGAAGCAGAAGTGAAAACAATACATTCATGATCACTAAGCAGCCCCAGATAGCACAGACAGCTGTCATCTCTTACCTTATGCTGTGCGCTTCAGGGCCACTTCTCTCTGTTTTTGAGGTGATGTGCATAAGTAATCCTTTTCTATGTCTGATGTGGTCCAAACACAGTGAATTATGTTTTATCAAACAAAAGAATAGTGAAATATGTAAACAGTGATCGTCCCTGTGGCTTGTATAGCACCTCTCATCAGTTGGAATGCAATAACTTTTGCATAGATTATGGCAGAGACATTTTTCTTTTTTCCTATGATTACAGACATGTGCAGGAACCACCAAAATTAATTACAGCAACCTAGACCACACAGGTACACGTTTAAAATTTAGTTCATAAAATAAAAATACAAAAAGCGCCTTTTTTTTAGGTGTTTATTATAACACAGACAACATATACTGATATTTTATACACTTTCAATAGTGTTTTATGAAAATTCAAAGGGTTTTCTTTAAAATGATACCAAATTTTTGCATTTACACCTCTGCATGTGGATTTGGGAAGCTTTTAAATTTGGGTAGGCAAAATCCAGGCGGAAATCCAAAAATAACAGCAGAGTTTAACTGGTTAATTGTTTTGTGTTGATTAGGGATGCAACAGTTAACCAATTTTACTAATAACCACGCTTCAATTCGTCACAGTTAATTAATCGTAAAGGCACCGTGTTTCTGCAAAAAAAACTGCTGTAATTAAACAAAGTTATGCCAACTGTGCACTTGGCTGCCTGATTCTGACTAAAATGAGAATCATGATTTGGGGGCGTAAATGATGAAATAATCGTTTCATCTCGATTAATGTTCTCTCATAATTGTTTGAAGTCCAAATCGAAATTAAATTTTCGATTAATTGCACAGCCCTATTTCTGCGAGGAATCAAATTTAAGTCTGTAATCATATTTTTAAAATATTAATCTTTTCGAGTGCTGAAAAGAAAGTCTTGTTTTATTTCGGCTAGAATGAAAGCAGTTTTACATTTTTTAAAAACATTTTAAAGTCAATATTATTAGCCCTCAATACATTTATATTACAATATATTTATTTAAAAAAAATTTCTACAGATTTAACTATTGTTTTACATTGATTAACTAATTAACCAAATTAAGCCTTTAAATGTCACTAAGCTGAATACTAGTGTCTTAAATATCTAGTCAAATATTATTTTCTGTCATCATAACTGTTATTAGAAATAAGTTATTAAAACTATTATGTTTAGAAATGTGTTGACAATCTTCTTTCTGTTAAATTGAAATTGGAAAAAAAATATACCGGGGGGCGAATAATTTAGGAGGGCTAATAATTCTGACTTCAACTGTACAGTGAAGCTTCTGTAGCCAGGCTGTTTTGACAGACTCTGTGCTAATGCTGAAGGACTCTTCTCCTGGACCGCGTGCGTCCCCTGCTACGAACAGTGTTTTTTGTGCTGAGCTCACAAGACAATGGGTCCCTCGTTCCTGCGTGGGCGCCGTGCCCACTTCACACCGCATGAAAAGCTGAAGCAAAGCCACGGCCGCAGAGGAGGCTTGGCTCATAAACAGACTCTCCGCCAAAAAACCTGGGCTAAACAGTCCCGTGACTGAAAACATCTGCTGTTTAGAGTCGATTTGTATCGCACAATGCTGTCTTCTAGTCCCACGGTGTTCTCAGATCACCCTCTGTTTCTTATGAAGTAAACATCCTGCTTTGGTATTTTGCTTGTCATCAGATTTCATTGTCGATTTCTTGAAAAATGAAGCTTTGTTTTTCGCTTTATTCACAGATTTGTCTTTTTCCTGGACCCGTGCAACATAGACATCATTCAGAGGAAGATTAAATCCATGGCGCTGTGTGTGTCTCAATGTCCCACAGAGGAACTGTTGACGTACTACGACCTCAAGAGGTTTGCCATGATGAATGGTAAGGCACCCTGTTCGCCCATATGACATGTCTTCGCCCCTAGACATATGCCCATATTCACTTATTCCATAAGGGGGTGGGTGGGGGGTGGGGGGGGGGGGGGGGGGGGGGGGTTGATGTATATACACATATAGGTGTATATACACATATACACATAGATATACACATATATATATGATCGGGAGTTTTCCTGGATGTTAGTATGCATTTTTTTTTAATTATGAAAATGTTTATTTGACCACTTTTCTACATTGATGGATCACTTATCGCACGGGCATTCCTGACAAAAAGCTTGTGTTTGTGTGTATGGAAATATACGATTCACTCTCCCTGTTAAATTTGATCTAATCATGTGCTGAAATACAGCTCCTCTCCTGCTTTCACTTCTCATACTGACGGAGGGAGCGATTCGTTTGTGAATGAATCTCCGTTATGAACGACTCGTTCGCTAGCCGACAATCATACAAGTTTCTGGCAGTGCAGCATCTCTTTGTCATATTTCTTTTGCATTGTTTGCTGATTTATTCAACAAACCTAGCATAAACCGAGTGTTTAGTGCGAGTTGGTGTTACTTTGCCTTATGGTGAATGCAGTAAGTGACTATAGCTATTATCAATAACGTGACCTGTTTAGCACAAATTTCAAAACATACAAAAACGTAAAAAACTTAATCCTATGAAATGTTCTGCCTTTGTGCTTTGTTTTCTTGTTACTACACTCGTAGACAGCGCTTAAGTCGAGCATCTTCACGTCATAACACTGTCCTGACTAGTGCGGTTGTATGACATTTGTCCTGGGAGCACTGTACCAATGTGGCGGCGCTATAGACGCATGCTCAGGGTCCCTATGCTATATCTAGTGTATATATCTATGTCACAAATTGAGGAGCGGGGAAAGGAGGCGGGGTGGCATGACAACGCGGGGAATCCTTCACAAACTGAGGAGTGATCACAAACCGAAAGTGGCGAGAGTGTCAAAGTAGCCAGAAGTCATTCATTTTTTAACGAGAACCGGCGGCGAGAAACAGCGGCGCGTCTTCATTGGCTATGACGCAGTTCGGCGGAAAGCAATCAGAATGAAGTAGTCCACCGCTAGAGCGGAATTCAGAGAACACAGACCTGTAAACTTTGGTTCCGGCCACAGTTGTTCCCAAGAGTTTGATTATTGCGATTCCTGGATTTTCAATTATTAAAAATCGCGATGACGTGGGGCCCCCTAAACACGCGGGGCCCCCCCGCGGTGCGTGCCCTGCGGGCCTGTCCGCTACGCCACTGGCAAAGGCACACTTATAGCAGTGCGACATGGCTGTATATCAATACTGCTGGGAGGCGTACGTTGGCTCTTATGGTGCGTTCACATCAGACGCGGATGAAGTGTCAAGTGCGAGAGATTTACATGTTAAGTCAATGCAAAGACGAGCGCAGACATCATGCGATGTGATTCAACTCGTGACACTTCATTCGTGTGAATCGTGTCATGGTTGCGTCAAACGAGTTGATGGTTTTGTCTGTTTGACGCACTTAACAAGTGAATTGCTTGATTTGGGAAAATTTCAACTTCAGCAGACATTCGCGCAGCACTAACCGCATTAACTCTTGTATGGGTATGTTTATGACGAAGTTGCTGGTGTCTCCAGGGGAAATTCTCTTACTGACACCAGACAACAACTCATGAAACTGTGCTCGACTTAGTCGAAAACACCACTGAAAGCTTCCATCATCCAGGTTTAGTTTCTAGAGGAGTTAATGAACTCACAGAGCTGGGTGCATCTCTGAAAGGATCTAGTGCACTTAGACATGACGCCGAATGAATCTGCGCTGTTTTTCAGCCTTCCTAAAGCACATAAAGCACAGCTACTATCTTAATAAAATCCATGTTAGCCGTTTAGCAACGAAGCTAGACTCACCAGGTAAACAAAAGCCCTGCACTAAATGCAAATGTGTGTCTATTATGAAGCAAATTTAATGTGCGAATGAAGTGAGTCAAAGCAAACACTACTAGATTACTATGGTAAAAATACAGCAAGTACAAAATAAAAGAGAGAGATCGACTTAGAAAGTCGCTTACCTGTTCTATATTGATTCATTCAGCTGTAGCTTTACATTTATGCTGAGAAAATAGACACTTCAAAAATAATGTGATTAATTATTTATTATGCAAACTTTCAGAGTGTCTTTTATATATAAATTTAGATTGTTGTATCAGTGGTAATTTATCACTGCAGCAAATGCTTGAAGAATTGAGTGGGTGATTTATTTTTAAACATCAACATTTTCATGTTAATCTGGCCCACGACATTAAAATTTCTATGACTTTTAATTGGCCTTTTGCTTGTTCTGTACATTTAGTGGCCGATCACACCGAACACACTTTTTCATTCTGAACACGTGAGAAAAACAATGGGTTTTTAGTAGACAAAAAAAAAGAAGTGCTGTGCTTTTTTTTATGTCGCTAGGCACTGATTGAATCAGCTGCGTATTGTGTGCGAGTGTTGCTGTTGATATTGGTATATTTTGTGTGATCGGCCCCAAAGGCTCCATTCGTTTTTAAATGTTAATTTAACTACAGTCAATGTAATTAAAGCATTTGATAATATTAACTGGTATTAGCTGTTAACTAAGAAACAAATAACGCATTAATGAGCTAATAGCTAATAAAATGTTGTTGTATTTTTGTTAACTTGTATAAATTATGCAATTTCTAATTGTTGATTTTTTTATTGCACTAACTGACATTACTAATAAGATTACCATTACCATTATTTTTTACCATTATTGTAAAGTGTTATCTATTGTACTGTATTTAATTTATTTAAAAAGTGTTTGCCCTGAACATTTGGATACAATTACGCAATACACCATGTAGTTTTCAGGTTGTTACACCCGTTAAAGTAATCTTTTTTTTTTCGAGCAATATCATGAAAATGCCTTATATCGTAATAAAAGCCTCAGTAATTAATGGCAACAAGAAAATCTGATAAGATTATGAGCCTTATAGCCACACATAAAATGCAGGGCTCGAAATTGCGACCATTTTGGTCGCATATGCGCCCGAAAATTAATCTATGCGACCTCATAATATATATGGGAGCATTAGTGCGACTGTAGATAATGGTTGTAGTGCGACCTGTTTTGATTTTTTTTAAAAACGTGCTGAATCACTCTTCCCTGCCGCTATATTGGTTTATATAAGCCGTCAATCACTCAAGGTATTCCGCTGTCAGATGACAGGGAAGGAGCTTTTATGACCACGGGAAATGCAAACGGCTGAAGAGTGAAAACTTAAAGCACACAGGTATGCAAACCCCACCTAAAGTTGTGGCGCAGATAAGAGCGATCATGACATGTGGTGAATATTGATCCGCCAGCTGAGATCAATCGAGTACGTGCTTTTCGGAGAAAGCGCCCGAATCTCAATGCGTTATATTCACTGCATGTTCAGCGCAAATGTCCGCTAAACTGTACATATCATCGCCAAAGAAGCTCGCCTTTACTAAGTTTACACTGAAACTTCGGCTCATAACAAACAGCGGTATTGCGCCGGTGGTCATCGGAAGAATTCTGTTCAACCTGCTCATAAATTGGGTCGGCTGACTCGCCTGCTTTCCACTAACACAGAAAAATGAAAATCAGCTCAGACTGAACATTTAAATTGACACAAACTAAAACCAAAACTTTTAAAGAGTGATAGAAGTGAGACTTTACTTAATTTCTTTTGCCTATTCTTTCTTGAGGTGTATGTATTTTTTATTTAGTTACTGATGACTGTTTTGCAGCTTTCAGCCTTGAATTTAATATTTTATTATAATCTTTTGTTTGTTTTGTAGCAGAAATTGTATTTATTAAACTGACATGCATATATAAACAGCAGTACAAAATAAATATTTTTACTGCAATGCTTCATTTTTGTTTGATGCAAACTATAGGCCTACATTTATTTTTCATAAAGTAACAGACTTTTTAGCAGATAACTTGCATTCAAGCACATTCAAGGCAGTATGATGATGACAAATGTAATTCATTGCTACTATTATTGTCATTTTCATCATCATTAATATTTTCAATTTGAAATTATTGCACACAAATATCAATGTAACAACCGGTGCTACCAAGTAAAAAAGTTAATTTCGAGCCCTGTAATGGCTGGAGAAGATACAAAGGAATTGCTCATTTATATGATCACCACCCCGGGTGTGTGGCTGTCCGTGGAGTTCTCAACTCACGACACGCATATGTTCCTGTCAGGGTTGAGCTAACTAAACAAAGATTCCACTGACCCATCTTGCTGTAAGGTCTCTGTTGTTTACAGGCTAGCCTTGCTGTCTATAAGGTTTGACACGTTCCATCTGACACCAAGGGTCAGAATGAATGACATTATTGTTTCTCTGGGGTTTCAGTGTGTTTTCTGTGCAATCGCTTATGAGGACCGCTGATTATGTTACTGGAAGTCTCGTTTATACTGAATGCCAAGTTGATAAAGGCTTAACTTTAAATCTTTAGTTTTTCCAAAAAATTTTATTCTGGTATTATTAATTACATCTCATGTCATTTCAGTTCCCTGAGACTTTCGTTCATCTTCGGAACAGAAATGAATACATTTTAGAACAATTCCTAGAGCTCCTTTATCCTGTATAGACAGCAATGGTCCAGATACATTCAAAATCCAGAAAAGGAACCAAAAAACAATCAAACTTGACTTCAGTAGTTCAACTAGAATCATCCAAAGCTCCAAGAACACTTTTTGTGTTTATTAGTTATTATTGTAGTTATTTTAAATAAAAACTGTAAAAAAAAAAAATTGTTTACCACAGGCAGTACAACGTATTGCCGTTAAGGCCCCGATATACTTGCATATACTGAACCTAAACTATTGACAATACTATAACGGACTTCGACATTATTAGAACAAAATACTATACTGAAATTGAACAACACACTGAAATAAAATAATTTCGAACAAAATCTTGCAAAAACAAAGTTCTTTTTGAGTTTGTTTTGAGAGTTCGAAACAGTTCACCAAAGCAAACTTTTGGCGCACTTTGTTTTGGCTCCTAAACACTTTTTAAATTACCATTGGTCTGTGACAATTACGCAATCAGTGGCCGTGTTCTGGAACTTCTTTGACTTTCTTTGTATCCCATATACACTGAGGTAAGGTGTTTTTTGTAAGGTAACATCCAATTTAGCGACATAAATAAACTGGAGGGTCAAGTAGCAGAGCTGGTACAGATATATCCGCACCTGTACATAAGACTTAAAGGGAGTCACACACTGGACGAGAAGTGACACCTCGTCTCACCATGTCTTTTAAAGTTCTAAACCCTGTTTCATTCGAAGTTTGTCCGAGGCAAATAAAAAATGTAAACGTGTATTGCACTGCGATGGTGCTTCTCGTTTGTCCTGCTGGAGAAGGGTTTGCCTTCTCGTTTGTCAGGCTGGAGAAGGGTTTGCCTTCTATGTTACTTCTTCTCTCTGAACCACCATTGCTGTGATTAGGGGTACACTGATGCAAGCAGCATGACACATCTACAACCCCACATACTGCAGCAAAGGGGTGATGAAAGGTTTAAAAATGGTATACCACCATTCAGCTTTTGGGAACTACTAATTTTGGATATCTTTATTACGACTGCACAAAATTGGAAAAAAAAAAAACGAACATATTTTGTTTGTCTGTGATCAATAAATATAATTTCACAAGATGCCTTATGACTCCGTATGAAAAGAATGAACTGTTTTAGATTGACTGAGATTTTTTTGTCTGGGAGTATCTGCATACAATATAATAAATTACAAGCTGAGATGAATACAGTTGAACAAAAATGCAAATTATTGAGGTACAGAAATTCAATAATTATTGGTATAGTAACACTATAGTCTTCATTTTATAAATAACTACATACTATTAATCTGTAAAAGCATCAAATTTATAACGTCTTTGCTTATTTAGCTTGAAAACTTTCATGCTATGCCTTGCTATTATAAGCCCTATAATATATATATTTGACATTGCAGATTCTGCTATGTGACAGTTTCAGTTACGCACATTGCAATATTGATGCTGAAGCTATACATTGTGCAGCTCGCATGACCATGAATATAACTGAGGTGATGTTGTGTATGATGCATAATCTTTCCCTTTCCCCTTCTATGTTTTAGGGTCTGAGCTTTGCTCGTATGAGTTACCTGGTCATAAGTACCCATCACTTCCTGAGCGCTTCGATAAGTGTCCCAAACTTCCAGTACCAGAGAGGTAGTGTGAAACGACCACTTAACAAACAATCTCTTCCTGTAAATCAGCTTCTTTTCCCCCTTGATCTGTCCTCTATCCTCTGGTCCTTCTTTATCTCTGCAGCAAAGCTCTTCCAGTGTTTAACCGCTGCACGCCGGTGGACATCTCCTGCTATGCTAAGTTCGCAGAAGCGGTGGTCACGTTTGTCAGCGATAACAGCATGCTAAACAGGCTGATCGCCGGGGTCGCAGCCAGCAAAGAGATCATTGTTGGCTTGTGTCTGCTGGCGTTAGGTAACGGCTGCCGAGGCAGTTTTCTGATTGCGTGTTTCTCTGCGAATTGAGTTGAAATGGATACTAATAGTCCCTGATATCCATATCAAATCAAGGCTAATTAAAGGGATAGTTCACACAAAATCATTTAATTATTGCGTACATCTGTTTGAGTTTCTTTATTCTGTGAAACAAAATAAGATACTTTGAAGAAAGTTGGAAGCCTGTAACCACTGACCTCCATAGTAGAAAAAGCAAATACTGTGGAAGTCAGTGGTTACAGGTTTTCAGCTTTCTTTAAAGTATCTTCTTTTGTGGTAAACAGAAGAAACATTTAAGAGCTTTTAACCACTGTGAATGCATTTTCATGTTTGAGTGATCTATCTCTTGAGGTTTTATACTATTAAGCAATAACAAATAAGTATAAGGCTCACTGTTTGTAATGATTGTATTTTGAGCCACAGCGTAGGACGTCAGATTCTGTCAACTTTTTAAGATTACGGCATTTGGTTGCTGCTGTTAGGTGGAAACCTCTTATCATTATAGTTATACTATAGCTCTAAATTTAACTTTTACATTTAATTATTTACATTTCATAAATTTAAGGAGCATATAGGATATTCTTTGTTTAGCATTTGTTGAAAAGCGGTAGCCAATACTATTTTAAGGCCCAATCCTAATTCTACCCCTTAGCCCTTCCCCTTACCCCTACTCCTTCGTTTTGCCTGTACCCGTGAAGGGGTAGTGGTGTCCCAGTTCTCTTTAGCTTGAAGGCGTAGGGCTACGGGCAAGGGGTATACACCCCTTCAAACAAAGATTTTCCAGGACTACACTCGAAACCAAGGCGTAATAAAATTTCCCATAATACACCAGCCACAGCTGCACCCAAGTAAGGAGTATTTTTCGTCATTATTACAAATTTTTACTACAAACAAACAAACATGTTTCAATATATTCCTAACCGTGTTCATGCTTTACCATAATGCTTTAAAAAAAAAAAAACGCTAAAATAAAAAACGCTAAATTTAGCTATCTATTTGCGATCTGTAATCCCTAACAATAACGTTTACATTTACGTTTAGTCATTTAGCAGACGCTTTTATCCAAAGCGACTTACAAATGAGGACAAGGAAGGAATTTACACAACTATAAGAGCAACAATGAATAAATGCTATAGGCAAGTTTCAGGTATGTAAAGAAAGTGTAAGAAGTAAAACATTAGTAATTTTTTTATTATTATAATTTTTTATGTAGTTAGTGGAGGAGTCAGAAAGGGAATTGCATATTAGTAAGGAAAGTGGAGACTAAATAGTTGAGTTTTTAGTTGAGTTTAAAGAACGAGCCTCCTCCATTCGGCCTCTTTACTTTCTCTTAACTTTACTTTTACTTTTTACAACTTTAGAAAAGGAAATGGTGGAAACACACTCCACTGAAGACATCCATTAGCCTACATATTTAATTTCCTTTGTTAAGTGCGAAGATATGTTTCAAAACTGTTTCTAAATTCAGTTTTGATTTCCAGCAATTTAATAAATGAACAATAATCTATAAAAATCTAAACTTGGTTTAATTAAAACATATATAAATATGCATATAATAAATAATACAGCTAATAAAAATAACATTATACAAAAGCAAATTGTCATGAATAAACAATAAAGAGGTAGTGGTTTTTATATTTATGTAGAAAATAATAATTTTTGTAATATTTAAATTCTTTAATTGTTTTTATATGTAAAGATATTTGTGCGTTTCTGTACATCCTCTGTGTATTAAGCAGTGTGTAAGCTTTTGTACCGTATAGGTGCATAACTAACGCGCTCTGTGCTGGACTTCAGAGCAGCTTTTAGTTGATCAATGGTGCTGTCTATTTCAGTTCCTCAAAATAGCCACGCGCCAACAATTCACTTAAACATACCTTCATTTTAGACCAGCACACATATGAGTCTAAAAAGTGGTGCAAATGAATTTACTATTTAAACAACGTGTCACAAAACATGAAAATAAGGGTTGCGCTGGTCTGAAAACAGCAACAAATTGTGCCAAATACGTTTTGCGCCTTATTGCGCTGGGTGTATGATAGGGCCCATTGTCTTAACTTATGGATATTTATAGATTTGAGTCTACATGATATAACATATTTCCCCACAATAATAAATTCAGCAAGCCAAAAAGCTATTTTAAAAATGACCTGCACTTAAATAGTATTTTCAGGTCTGATATAATTCATCAATTTAAAACAATCAGAAATGGACAAGAATGCAGTCAAAAGTAAAAGCCAGATAATAAAAAAAAAAACACTAGAATCACTCATTGTCTTTCATTTATAGATAATTTAATACTGCATGATACGTTTACTTTTCCCACACAAGTATATTCCGCAAAATGTCCTTGTCGCAGAGCAATGTATGTGAAAGAATGAAAAGACTCGTGTAGCCACCTTTGCTTCTCCCCTTAACTTGAGAATATGATTGGCAGAATCGTAAAAATGCTCGATTAAGATCGTCTAGAGCAGGGGTGTCAAACTCAATTCCTGGAGGGCCGAAGCCCTGCACAGTTTAGTTCCAACCCTGCTCCAACACACTTACCTGTAGGTTTCAAACAAGCCTGAAGGACTCAATTAGTATGATCAGGTGTGTTTAATTAGGGTTGGAACTAAGGCCCCGTTTACACTAGTGCGTTTTAGTTTTAAAACGGCGTTTTAGAATGAAAACGATCCACGTCCACACTCGCGTTTTACCCAGCGTTTCTGAACAGCTCTCCGTCCACACCAAAACGCTGAAAACGCACATTACGTGACCACACACACACACTTTGGCAATCGCTGGAGCCCATCTACCCAGATGAGAGCTCTGCTAGTCGGACTTCTCATCAAGCATCTCCCGCTGGATCTAATCTCACTATATTTATTAAACGTGATATTTCATTCATCTTGTTGTCTTTATCTAACGACATATTCCCTGACTTTGGTCATTGGAATCTATTACTTGTTCTCAGGTAACGTGTTTTGGCTAAGCGCAAAGATAAGTTAATGATTAATGTAACCACGTAGCCTACATTCTGTATATTGACTGATCGCTTGCCTTTATTTCCTATAATGTATAAACTTATTGTATGTTATACTTTTATAATGGCCATTATCGATTATTAAAACTGATATTCAGCAAAAGAAGGGTATGTTTCGTATTTTCACTGAAATTGAAAGGAGGCAGTTGTTATCGGCTCCGTTTTGTTATAAATATCCACACAGCGAAGATGACGCTCATGCAGCACGACGCCTCAACATTTCTGCTGTCTGTTTAGTTGTTAATATTAAAATAAAAATAGGCAGTTCCTTATATCAAGTTTACATTTTATTGTTGAGAAAATGAAACAACGAAGCCAGGGTGATGTGAATGAAGTTATAAAGTACACTGTTCCCTGTGAAGATTGACGCGTGTCCTTGGTATGTTTTCCATATCAAACTGAGAAGAAGAGATGCAGCCTTGATCAAACTTGCGAAGTCTGAACTTACACGGAGAAGATTCAGGACTGAACTGTGTGTTAGGCTACTTAATATTGAGGAAAAGCCCCAATCAGAGAGGCGAATGTCTGCAGCCCCGCCTCCGTTTTCAGATGTCTCCGTCTTTCCCCATCCACACTGAGACGGAGCAGCAGCGTTTCAGAATGAAAACGGCCTCTCCAGCGTTTTTGAAACGCTCCGTTTTCGGCGCTCGAGAACTCCGGCGTAGTGTGGACGGTTGGTGTAACCGTAGCAAAACTTATGCGTTTTCAAACTAAAACGCATTAGTGTAAACGGGGCCTAAACTGTGCAGAGCTGTGGCCCTTTTGGGACTGAGTTTGACACCTGTGGTCTAGAGTGTCGGATCGAGATCGCAATCTTTTTACGATTATTTGTGCGGCTCTAGATG